AACAGTAACAGACCCCATGGATGGCAAAACGAACAAGGGAAAACAACGTAAAAGATTAAGAAATGAGATCAATATTTAATGGGGAAGAGTGAAATGGTGCAACAACAGCAAGAGAAAAGGATTGATTTGGCGTAAACATTTGTCCAGCAGTGGACCGACATTTGCTGATGATGAAGCCTCTAAAGGTTATCAACGTGGTCGATCCTTGAGTAGGTGTTAATTAATCTACCATATGGGATTACAACCCAGACAAACCCAGCTGCAGGAAGAATCTTAGATGGCCCACCCTTTGATAATTTTGTTTTATCATTTTATTATTTTAACATCAATTTTATTTAAAAAATAATCTTTAATTCATATACAGTATTATGCATATTGCAGTAAAAAATTAGGCATATCCTTAACAATAAATAAGCATAGGGCTATACTTATTGATCTATAGGAAAATACAGTTACAGATTTATTTGTTGAAACAGCTAACTTAAATACGATAACAAATTTACACATAATAAATTTGAAAGTAGATGTATACACAAATTGAATAAGCAGCAGAAGTTACGGCGTTTTTTTATAGGAAATATTTCTTGTTTATCTTTGCATAACTCAAAAAATTACCTCTTTAATATATACATTTTTTTTAAATGTATGCCCTCTCAAACCAATTAAATAACACCTGTAAATTTCTAATTTCTAGAATGCTGGAGCTTCCGGGAGCTTTGCAACCTGGACCCCCACCAGGACCTGGCCAATGGTGCTCTCGCAAGTGCCAGTATCAAAAAGAACTCCCCCCCCCCCCTATCAAATCCTGGCTACGGGCTTGTTCACTTTCACCAAAAGTACCAGTTCCTATACCACATCCTTCCTAGGTCTACGATACAATGAGAAATAAAATTGTTTGAACTGACTTTTGGGATTGTCATGGTAACACTTGTATTCGGTTAGTAACTTTAGAAAAAGGACATGGTTAAAAAACGTCTGTCTTTTCTTCAAATGGAAAATACCTGAAACAAAGTGTCATATTTATTTGATTACTAGCTTGCTAGTAAATAGTCTAATACATATTTGCTTTTGTATCCAGACTCCTCATTTTCAAGACACGAAAATAATGATAAGTAACGTTACAGTCCGTACTGTACTGTTTGTCCTTCACAGGAAGTCTGTAGTATGCCATGTTTCAGAACATTTTTTAACTGAAAGTGTATGTTCACAAAGTAAAACATTTTTGAATACACATACAACTTTTAAGTCTAAATGTAAATGTATAATTTCCACTTTAGCCTAGCCCCTAAATGGTGATTTTTACACCTCACAATAACTAGACTCTTGATATATAACATACAGTATTTAAAAATAACTGAACCAATTTTTCATTCTAAAAGATTATGCACTGTATATAGTTTTAAAAAGTTTAAGCACAAAATAAGCAAGTTCGGTATCTCCGTACAACAACATGTTAAAAAAACACTAAAGTGACCATATATGAGTAATTGTGGAATTCTGTTTTGCTCCATTGTGAAGTATATGAAATCGTTTTGAACAGAGCCGAAAGCAAATCAAAGATTGTAATGTGAGTGTTTTGCTTCCTACTTCTCATATCTGCAAGCAACTCATTCATTACAGGTTTGTTCTATGCAGCCATTCATGCCCCTTAAGAATGTCTTGGCTCTATGCATCATTTAATTGGTTACTAATCATAAATTCAGAAATATGGTCTAAGATTTGAATGAAAATTGAATGAGACAAAGATCATTACAAAGTTCTCGGGAGAACTTGTATCTCCTCGTTACCTGGTGCTTTGATGTTTCAGTATTTGTTGGTATGATTGGTACTAGTGGAGTTCATTAATATCTACTCCTTTCACTATTTATGGAAAGTAAAGTAAGTGCAGTAGAACCCCTCCTTTAGGACACCCCCTATTTAGTGGACACTTTTTTTTGAAACAAGGTGAAATATATCCTTTAACACTATGGCAATCCCCATTAAGGGGACAGAAACACTTTCTGAGTGTGCCAAATGGTCAAATAACCCCTATTATGGGGACACTTAATTTTTTCCCCCTTGTATTAAAACAACTTTAGCAGTCTCAAAATAAGAAAAATTCAACTTCATATTTTGACACATTTTAAGTAGTAAACCAGAATTTTTTCCTTAGAGTAAATAGCGGTATTGGCCTACTGCAGGTGTTACTTCATATAAACCAGTCTTGCCACTTTTGACCCTTATTTCTTTTTCTTTGTTTTTTGTGTACTTTGTTTGTTTTTATTGGTTACTCCACATACAACATTTATACTTTCATATAGGATTCTATACCATAGCATGCACCCTTAATCCTAAGTCGTTGCTCTATTCATGCTACATCCATCCAATAGAAAGCTCAATATTTAAAAAAAAAAAAAAGTATAATTGGTCATTAATATCATGAAATAATATTAAGGGGACAATTTCACATTTTTTGTTAGTGTCCCTTAATAGGGATACTTCCTATTCTGGGAACATCCCTATTAAGGGAAAACTTTTTTTGGTCCTGAAGGGGTTCCATTGTAGTAGAAATATCAATATTTGGGCAAGGTAATTGTTGAAATAAAGCTTTTCCTGGAATAGTGAGTTTTTGTAATTCTGTTTACTTTTGTTTAAAATTGCCTGGATAAAAGCAATCCTTAATTCATACTTTTGCTATTTCAGAGTTCTCGTGGTTTTACATTGAAAATTTTCCATTTAAACTCTGCTGACATATATATCGTATTTAATATTTTAGCACACATACATTAAAAATACAACATGAACAAAAAATTATACCATAGTTCCCCAGGTATAATCCCATCCCCCCATGAACGCGAAATTGGCCCAGATTTTTGGGGGTCGGATTATACCCGGGGATTCATTTTATAGACACTCTTGCATTGCATGATATTGTCATTTATTCAATGATGAAAGTAAAGTTTAGAAATATGTTTACCCTGTCCAATAGATCAGCACTCGACTAAACATAAAATCAACTAAAATGCTCATCCTACAACAAATTACATGCAATTGTATTTGCCACTAAAAAACAGTTGTCTAAAAGCCACATAGGCTATACTTGGAGTTGCACTGCAATAAAAATACCTCAGTATCAATTCAAACTTAATAATTAAACGAATACAGTATACTTTGTAAAATCAAATAGTGACAACTACACAGTCTATGACAATGTGAAGACTGTGTGCTAGGAAGGCCAGACTCATGACGATGGGAGCACCCAGAAAACGAGTTACAGAAACTCTCCATGTCTTTGTTCTGTATAGTCGTTTCTTTCTTTCAATTTGAATTATGCAGTATTAGGTCTGTACCTGTGTATGTGTAGCTGCCCATGTCGTGTTCCATGCCTGACGATCCTTTATTTTTTATGAATAATGCTCCCCTCAGTTCAGAGTTTAAAAAATCACCCGGTCAAAGATCCAACTCAGTCCATAATGATTCTCTAGATATTCAATAAGGAATGATTTTTACAATTTAGGCTTATTAACTTTTTTTCCAAAATTTAATGAAATCATTAGACCAATATAATAAAAAGTAATAATAATAATAATAATAATAAATTAAATAATAACAAGACTTACTATGTCTGCTTGAATAACAGAAAATACAGTAGGGCTTTTCCCCTTTGCTTTAATGAGAAATGAAGTTGAAATTGCAACAAAAAGAAAAGTCGTTAAAAGGTATAAAGTAAAAAAAAAAAAAAAACCTGGAAAACCAATATAATTTTAACGAAGTGGGGAAAAAAACAATGAAAACCAAGTTCACTGTGACGTTATTAGTGAGACTTGAACTATGGCTGCAGTAGTAATAGCTAGGTACATCGTGACCCATAACCATTGCGCGCTATATGGGCCGACCTTGCATAGGAATGTGCATTTTCTGTTCATAACGATTCAATGACTGAAAACAAAATTGTTCATGCATATCACGGTAGTTTTGAGTTTAGCCTAGCTGTAACTGGTTTAAACGCTTTGGAAAATGCAAATTGCGTTTAAATAATTTAATCAACTGTCATCAAAAAAATCTTTAAGTGATCCTTATATCCACACCCTACTGTGGATCGTCACCAAAATTGGATCATTTCTTCATTTCACCATGAAAAACTATTCTGCAATGTGTCATTTTTATCCATCTATAACATAAGCATTTTAAATAACCCTCAAATTTACACCCTAACTTGGATTGTCCCCTACACATAATAATATCTTCCTTGTAACTTGGGTTAAAGTTTCCGAAAGTGTTATTCGGATCAGTTGACTGGTTTTTGAAATATCTGGTCTGGGACGTTTTCCATTCAACCAGGTCCTCAGATCTACACCCTACTCCGGATCATTTTATCATTTCTTTACTCGGCCTTGACAAACTGTTATACAAGGTTTAAATTATACCCATTGATTTTTTTAAAGAGATATTTAGGTCTGGATCCTCAAAAATTGAAATGAATCTCCCATACACCCTTGACTGAATTGTCGCCAGCACATAATAATATCTTCCTTGTAACTTGGTTAAAAACACTGCTGTCACTGTTTGCTTATGAACATTACGTCCAAAGCTTACATACAGTAATTGGAGAAAGCTGCGATACAATACTCCCTCACTGTACACACACACACATTCTTACTAGATAATTATTTCCTAGTCAATTGCCTCTTTATGTATGTGGCGTCTATTTTTACTTTTTTTTTTGTATATTCATGAAGTTAAGCCAGATAATGTTAAAACTATTCAAAATGAGCTCTCGGTAGGCCTACTTACACTGGTTTGGAGGGTTTCAAGCACTATTGTATATCATAATAAAAGTTAAAATTCAAATCTGTTTAAAATGTTATATAAATTAACCTAAATATTTTATTCTTTTCAAGGGAAAATATGTATGTATATGACAAGATTTATTTTATATCACTTTTATTTCACAGGAGGACCGTTGCCTACTATTTCATTGGATGAGACGTCTTCTGGTACCGTATTAGTTATATACTTTCAGTTTTATTTTCTTATATTATTATGTATGCATCAAAAGATGGTTTTCCTCTGTTGCAATGCAACTGAGCTAAATTGCAACCTACATCAGGTCTGTTGGAAGGTACATAAAAAGCAAACTTATTGCCAGCTTGTATATTGTATGTATTTTTGTACTAGTAATATTTGTTGAAACTAGTCAATTCATTAATTTCAATTTTTGAGTTTTTAAAATAGGTCTAGAATATTCATATTAAATGTTCAATTTTCTTAGTTTGTTAGGGTCCATTGATTCAAGGGATTGCTTAATTTGTCATAGATAATATTGAATTTGAAGTAACCAGGCTTTATCGGGTTCTAATCAACCTTGTTTTACAAAAGTCATTTTTTCAATTGCTACTTGTCACCAAATGAATATTGGGTGAGTGTCCTGTCTTTCCACAGGTGCATATTGTAGTGCTGGGTGTAAAAAAAACTCCAGCCCAGAAGCCATTGTTGTGCCCGATACACATTGTACAAGTTGTTTTACCTTCTACACATGAACCGAAAAAAAAGATCAAGCACAAAATGCACTAATGAAAGATTACTATCATCATATTCAGTGAATCAGGTGGAAAATGTATTGAGAACTGCTGCTCCATACACTCAACCAATCTAGACTTTAAAAAGCAGCTTACTTCTTATAATCACAATAAATGTGATACTGTATTCGAGTCACTGATTTCACTTTGTACAATATATTACCAGAAAAATATTAGAGCAATTGTAATTTACAAACTTGGTGCAGTCAATCCTGCTGTAGTCAATTTTCAAATATGCTTTAAGAATTGATATGGCTATTTAATTGGGTTTAACTTTTTTATAATTAGTCTATATTTAAACACACATTACATTTATTGCTATAGTTCCAGAACTAATTGCTGCCCGTGGACCAGAGCAAACAAAGTATTTTATTGAAGCTAAGAAGGAAGGAGCAGTAGATATGAACATGGGAAAGGTGATGGTGATGGGCAGTGAGGGTGCTGGAAAATCATGTTTGGTTAACTCATTCCTTGGATTGCAGTAAGTATGAAAGTCATTCATCCATCATTAATCAAGGTCACAAAACATTATTACCAATATTGACCATTGAAAATATAAGTCGTTGAACAACAAAGAAACAAAGTTATACAGCAGTGGCATACCTAGAGCGTTTCCCACTTATTGTTGAAATCTGAAAAAAAAGTAAATTAATCTGTAAATGGCATAGTATGTTAATTTTATACATTAACAAGCATTAATTTGTCATTGAGAGTCAATATCTCAACAAAATTCTGCTTTTTTATTTATTTACTGGTCCGTTGTTTTACTTGTTACTTGTATAGCGCCTTTCTTTTCAGTTACGAAGCACTGTAAGCGACTCTCCACAATAAATCAAAAATATCCCCCCAAGTAAAGCTTTGTAGAACTAAACGAATATGAGCTAACTTAACTAATGCAATAAAGCAGTAGAATAATAAGAAAGCAAAGAAAACAGTAACAAATGCGATCAAGCAAGGTGAGAGGATCTATTGAAAAAGGTGTGTTTTTAGATGGGCTTTGAACTGCCTAAGCACATCACAAGATCTGAGAGAATTAGGCAGACCATTCCAAAGTTGGGCAGCAATTGAAGGGAATGAATTGTCACCAATACATTTATGGTAGACCGGTTGAACAAGTTGGATGGAGTTGGAAGATCTTGTTAAGTGCACATGTGTATGTAGTGATATGTAATTGGATATGTACAAAGGGCAGATGCCAGAAAGTGATTTGAAAAAAAAGAGAAGTTTGAATTTAATTCTTTCCTGTACAGGCAACCAATGGAGATCACAAATACGTGACTTACAAGAAAAGGTGATTCTAGCTGCAGAGTTTTGAAGTTTCTGTAGGGTGTATAAATCTCTTTTTAACAGGCCACTGTACAGTGAATTGCAGTAGTCCAATCTCGAAAGAACCAGTGCTGATTCTCCAGATGGAACTTAACAGCCCTGCTAACATTTGATACTTGTAGGCTGAGACCTGCTGACGAGTCAATAGTCACTCCAAGAGTGCGGAAACTTCCGGAAGGATGAATAATGATGTCCCCTCCAACAGGCTTATACCTTTAACATGATCTAAGGAAGGATGACAAACCAAAAACTCAGCCTTCTTTTCGTTCAGCTTCAGTTTGTTGCCTAACAACCACTGCTAAATATTAGCAACACAGAGGGATAAGGTCTGTAAAGTGGAGACAGTGCTGCTAGCATTGCTGGGATCAAAAGTTACCTAAAGTTGAAGATCATCGGCGTAAAAGTGAAATTGAATGCCATAATGCCTGATAATATCACTGTGGACAAATGTAGAGACTGTATAAACATGGACCAATAACTGAACTTGGGCCACTCCATAAAGTAGGGGATGTGGGGCAGAATATGAACCAGAAATAGAAACCCTACTACTTATACCACATAGATAGGACTTAATCAATTCAAGGGCACACCCTGTAATGCCTAAAGCAGATTCAAGACGTTTAACCAGAATGCAATGATCTACTGTGTCAAATGCAGCAGAGAGGTCAAAAGGACAAGCATGACACCCTTGCCTTTGTCAACAGCAAGAGATGTCAGTATAAACTTTTAGTAGAGCAGTTTCAGTGCGTAGTGACACCTATAAGTAGACTGTTATGGTTCAAAGAGTTGGTAATCTTCTAGCTATTTATTGAGTTGGTTAATTATCACTCTTTCAAGTCAGCCCAATGATGCTGCGCATTATGTGTTATTCTCCTGCCTTTACTTTAATGTTATCATGATTTTAACTATTACCATCATCATTACTATTATTGTTATCATTATTATTATCAAGGCAATTCAACAAAAGGATGGACGTCATCTCCGCTCGCGATCGTAGCGTGTGTTTACTGTCGTTTGATCTTAACTTCTGTGGCAATTTTATACAAGTTGCGAGTATAGCCGTTTCTTATTTGAATATTCGTGCCATACGTTTATGGTTCAGAATACTACTATTAATTACTTTTGGGTGCTTCACAATGTCTGTTACATCTGATTTCTTTTGGCCAAGATCTTGTTACGTGCTTCTACAATTTGATTCTTGAAAATTGACCAACAAAGTGAAAAGTTATAGCAAACAAAAATTTCTGTTTTTTCAAAATTGTCATTTTGCAAATACTGCTCAGTTAAACTGTGGAACAATCTTCCCCTGATACTCAAAAATTTCAAAAATTTGATTTAATATTACATTTTCATTTTGCTTCTTGTTTATACCAAATTTGGCTTGTGTTTACCAAATTTTCTTTTGTTTTTGTATATAATTTCTTAACTTCATTTTTTATTTTAATGTTTTAACTATTAACTGGACCTTAAGGAAGAACAATGTAAAAATGATTAAGCATCCAGAATAAAGAAAGATTCTATCTATCTACAATGTTGGACTAAGGTGCACAAAACAAATTTTTGAATAGCTAACATTTATTTTTTTTTTTGCAAAAAGAGTCCCATGAACCACTGGATACCACCTCGTTTGTAAAATTAATCTTTAAAAATCGAATATAATTTTGGGCTATTGTTAGAGCAAAAAAACTTTTGGTGTTTATAATCACTGCACGACAATCAGGCCATGTTAAACTCTGTCAATCATGTAGGGACACACAGCAAGCGTCCTTTTGTTGAATTGCCTCAAGTGTTATTATCATGCTCATCATTATTTTCATTATCGTTATCATCATCATTAACATCATTATTAATATTAGTATCATGCTACTGTCACCATTGTAATAGCTACTGTAAATTGCTATAGTAAATTATATCAATGGGTTATATGGGTTTTTATAGTTTTGGAAAGCAAATAACAGCCGATAGCATAGTATTTTAATTATTACTCTATATTACTGTACTTAGATTGGCATTAACATAAAAGCTTTTTTTTTTAAAGATTTAATGTAAATCATGACATAACTGATTGCATTGCTGTCAAAAAGGTCGTTTCCAAAAACACTGCTGAAGCTGATAAGTGGGAAGAAAATGCTGGGGATGGTAAGTCGTGAATTTGACATGTCTTTAGCAATATGTATGCAATAATAAATTAAAATTCATAACTTACAAACAGCACTTTAATACTAATGACATACCATATATTTCTTTATTGCATTTATTTCTTTATTGCTTCCAACAGTGTAATTTAAACACAATAACATGATGGGAATACTGTATATTAATTCAAAAGTTTTTAAATACAGTACTGTTCAATCTTTAAGTGATCTGTGCTCAGACTATGGC